GCGTATGGAAGCAGTCAAGTTTGCAGTTTAAAGGCACGAAAATGGGAGGCAAAGAAGGACATAGGCCAGGCTAGCTCAGTTTAGAAAAGCATCCATGTCACCAAAACATACTTAAACCTTCATAGTTAGAACTTTGTATTGTGTGTATTGTGCAAACCATTCCCAGTCTTTGGTCCGTGAAATTCGGAGTGCTACATGTGGCTTATATTACACCCCTCCCGTCATTCCCAGCTTCCTACAAACCTGCTGCTGACAGATTCCCATGGAATGTCTGTATGGAATGCCGACTTCCATGCCTTAGTCCGTACATGGTCAGGGCCTGTGACAGGGGGGCGGTTTGGGTGGGATTATTGAAGTCCTGGGGTTTTGAAATCAGTTAAAGGAGGTCCCCTCTGAATTGGGCTCATTTATCTTGGTCATGAAAGAAAAGTTGTGATAAGGTAGAATACACCTTTCTAATGAAGTAGTAGCCTCTACCAGGCTCTCGGGAGCGGCAAACTGTTCTCTCTTTGACCAAACTCCCCCGGCATGCTATCTCTCTATTTGGCCGATTTCTACTCTTTCCAGCCGCCTCGCGAAGCCTGGTAGAGGCTACAGTAGTAGCTGTTTGGCACAGCATATTTATATTGGTTATTGGAACTAGACAGTGAGATAAAGCAAAAGATTTATTATTCTATTATTGAACTACACTGTATTTCAGAAATTAATGGAAACTGCATAATGATTTATTAAAACTACATTCAAGAGAAATATGTATTTGTTCCAATTTGGCTAATTAATCAGTTAAGTAGTACAGCTTAGACCAGGCATACGTACTGGGAAACTCTTGTTAAGAACTTGGTGAATACAGTTGTCTCATTGTTGGTGCTTTTATTATTTTGGCAACAGATATGTGCAAGTTACAGGGTCATGAAGCGACGAAAGGTCCATAAGGGTCACATTATTGTGCAATCTTGTTTTACATTTCCTCTGTTTAGTATGGCGTTTATCAGAGGTGTATGTTTTGGTGTTTGAACATGCTGGGTACCCTACAAGTCCTACACACACTGTTAGGCCTGGAGAAAAAAATGTTGTGTTTCCTGTTCCAGTCATGAAAAATTAGGGTCGGTAGGTAGGGTTTATCATTTTCTTTCTTTCTTCTTTTTATTAGACTTTGGCGATCTCTAGTGACCCAACTTAAACAATACAGTTGAACAAATTAAAACCTGCATGAGGACACTTTCATTTTCAATGTCAGTGTTGGAAAACCCATTGTACAACGTTTCATCACTCAGGTGTCAGATCATGGGGCTAGAAAAGGTTGATCAGATCGTAAAATTTATGTCCCTTGCAGAGGTCCACACAAAAAGGGCTAGGGTTTGTCGAGAAACAGGAAACACGACAAGTCCTACAGACTGTTATCAACATCCTGTGGTCACACTTTCCTGGGTTTCTCCGGACTGAAGCGGCTTAACCCTCCAGTTCTTGGAAGAAAGGGAGAAGTAAGGGGGACAAACCACGTCAAGTTGTATATTATGTTTCAATTATGCGACCACCTTGAAATGGAGACAGTGTGACAAAGGGCAGGGTGTTGCAAAAGAAGTGTTGATGTTTGGGCTTTGCTACAAACGCGTATTTTTGTGTTACGACTTCTCAATGAGACATTGGGCCTTTTGTGTTAAAGATGTAGACAGGAAGTTCAGTGGGAGTGTGAAGACGTTTTCAAGACTGTGGGCATGGATGGCTTAAGTCTGGGTCGTACAGTCGACGACGTTTAAAATTTAAAAAGTGCCTTTTGTTACGATGTACGCACTAAAGTCTGTGTGTGTCAAGACCTTTTGAAGACAGGGATTATACATTTATAGATGTCTTAAAGCTGGTGTCGACGACATTCGGTAATGTTTTTTGATCGCTTGAAGGTCTCCAAATTTAAACATCGCCAGATTTGACTGTATTTCGCAACCGAAATTCCACCGTATCAAATTTAGAGTGTACGGAGAACATCAGCTGATCCCTAAATATCACGCGATGGTCGAGAGAGCACCGGGCGCATTGCTGCCGAAAATTTGAGCTTGCAGACTTGTTAGTCTTTCGATTTTCCTGCTATGTATAAGAACTGCAACCTTTCAAACAGAAGCATACAAGTCCAGAGAGATATTACTGTTTGGGAAGTACAAGTAAAACTTACAGTTACTTAAATATCTCTACAGGCGAGTTGACATATTATAACATCAGTAAATGTGTATGGTAGCAGATTCAAGGCACAAATTGATGTCATGTCATTAACACTCTGGGGTTGAGCTGATAGAGCTAGAAATTAAACAAATGGAAATTAAGAAAAATATGTTTTCAGAATTTTTCCATCATTTTTAGTTTTTACAGATGTTTTGGTATTGTCCAGCTGGTAGCCTCTACCAGGCTTCGGGTGCGGCAAACTGTACTCTCTAGCTGACCAAGTCCCCTGGCATGTTATCTCTGTATTTGGCCGATTTCTACTCTTTCCAACCGCCTGCCAAAGCCTGGTAGAGGTTACCCAGCTGGTAGTACCCCCAGTGGAAGTGATATAAACTGAAGTAGGATGTAGCTTTCAACGTTACCAAGGCCGCACTGGGTGATGAGGAGATCCGTAGACTGAGGCACATCATAACAGGCGATGCTGAGGCTGCCCAGCTGCTGGAAGCTGCTGCAACTGTTCAGAAGGAAAGTCCCAACTGGCCGCTGCTGTCCCAAACTGTTCTAAGCTGTTCACGTGGCACACGCTGCTGGGCAGCCGCTGTTCCAAACGTCAGACTGATACACTGCTGGGCAGCTGGGCAGCTATACATTGTTGCAGCTGTTCAGAAGGACAGTCCCAATGCCCGCTGCTGTCCCAACCTATTCATTCCCCCGAACACTGCCAATGTTTGCTGTTCACACTGACACACTCCAGTGGGCAGCTGCTGTCCCAAACTGTCCACACACGCACTGATACACTTAACTGGACAGGTGATGCTGAGGCTCTCAGCTGCCTGACGTTTCTGCAACTGTTCAGAAGGACAGTCCCAATGGCTGCTGCTGTTCCAAACTGTTCACACGGATAGTCCCAATGTTTGCTGTTCACACTGTCGCATTCCATTGGGCTGCTGTTGTTACAAACTATTCACACATGTACGCACTGATACACTCAACTAGACAGCTGCTGTTCCAAACTGTTCACACTGAACACTCCACTGGGCGCCGACTCTGTCCGTCTCAAGCTGTTACCACGCACAGAACCAATGGCTGCTACAGTCCCAAACTGTTAACACACACTGCATACTCCACTGAACTTGCTGCTGTCTCAAACTGTGCAGCCACAGTTGTTCCTTTCTGAAGCACGAAGTATCCTTGCTGTTCGTACTGTGGTTCTTGCTAATGCTCTGCCACTCTGTCCAAAACTTCGCACAGTGCACACGCTGGTCGTTGACGATGCTGCATAGTCCCAAACTGTCCAGCAAAATATTTCCTCAGACGCGCACACACACACATCATAGTTGCACAGTTAAATTCCTCCGGGAAACATTCAGCATGTAGTCCCAGACGCAGCAGTGTAATCGCCCGTTGAATATTGTTGCAACTCCTCTGTCAAACAGTCCTGTGAAACCCACTCAGTATTCCTGCAGTTGTGGTGTTCTAAAACTTTGTGGTGATTTTGCAAATTATAGTCCCAAGTGGTGTCATATCATTACATGCATGTTTTTGCCCTTTAAGTTTGTATTTGTTTGGTGACATAGGGCTCCAGTTGCAACGTAACAGTTCAAGTTGCATTGTCGCCAGGCTTCTGTCCTCAGAGTCGGACTATCACGGAACTGGCCTTCCACTTCAGGAAGCAGATATCAGTTCTGCCAAACTTTTCCTGCAAAGCCTTGGAGTTGTTGCTGTGATCAATGCTTCCCCATTCAAAATATTTGTGGCACATATTTCATCTGTAGTCCTTACGAAAATTTCAAGACTTCCTTCTTAGGCCTTGTGTTTTTCTTAAGTGTACTTCAACATTATGAGATATATGCATTTTCCTCGGAAAACAGATAAGGTTCGTACCCATATGGGAAACAATCACGTGGTAGCTTACTCCATAGTGATGTTGTTCTGGGTAAGAAGCTTTCCTAAGAGGTGGAGAATGGAGGAAAAGATAGGGGCATTCGCTTCTGTAGAAGTGGCAAGACGTGTCCTAGCTGAGAATGTTCGAAGTGGGGGCACTAGCGAGTGAAGTTCCGCAGAGCATTTTTTTGTGTGATGGGATGTTGCATCATCTTGGTTGGTTAATGGCCTTGCCGTGCGTTAGATAGGACAGGATATCCTGAGGCACGCGAGTGTAAAACCTGGGAGTTCTCAGCGTGCTGTTTTATCTCCCCCTCCCCAGTCCTTCCTCAGCGAACACACGCAGAGAGTGGCCCCGCCGACAGGTACCCGACACGAGAACATTTCATTAAGTAGCGGACTGGGAGCCGTCAGGTACACAAGTGCACGGCCCTGGACACTATCAGCGATGTCTGTGGTGTCTCCAACACTCGGGAAGTGTGGCGTGTGAGGAACTGTGAACTGGACTGTCAGTAGAACGTACCGGCCTGACTCAGACGAAACAGGACAGGAATAAACTTTCATGCTGATGTAGTGCAGGGCTGCTTCAGCTGATTCGCATGTTTTGAACACTCGCCTCTAGATGTGGCACTCCGGGTTCGACTGCACGTTAAGAACAGCTAGCTCTACAGTCAGGATAATTTGTCAGCCCAGTCAGACGAAACATTGGTTAAACTTAAAGTAGAACAGGGATACTAGTTCTTTGGCTGGTTCGTGATTTGTGGACACTTGCCCCAAAGGGTGGCAACAGCTTCACAGTCAGTAGTAACTTGCCAGCCCAGTCATAAACAATATTTCTTAATGATAACAGCAATGATAACAGCTTTGAGTTAAATCATTTAGACGTTATTATTCTGTGTTCAATTATATGTGCTTTCGAGTCAGTAGAGCTCCCTAGCTTGCTGGTATCGTCCAGTAAAATTTAAAGCATTGCTTGTAAAAGGGAAAAACTCAAGACCTTAGCTGATCCAGATTGGATGGAAAGTTTGCTCTCTGAGTTTGCTTGCTTGTCATTTATTTTGGAGATTGGATATGTGTCTTTTCTATCTCCCACACTTAGATTTAGACATTTACATGACGTCGTATTCTCAGTGATACTGCCATGTGGTATTTTCAACGACATTTGTACAGACATCGTGCAACAAGGTCCCACGTAGAAAGAAGTTTGTACAGTCGAGTTTGTGGCCCTGCCTCACGTGCCTGCGTTCTAATCTTTAGGCCAAGATTGTGAAGACGACATCGAGTGTTTGCGTCCTTCAAATCTTCTTACTTCGCACCTCCTCAAGGCGTGGTCTCACATTCCTTGGGACGCTCTTCCTTGAGTGTTTGCAGATTCTCAAGGAGCTTGGCCAAGTCGTGAACTTTCAAACAATCCTAGGAGTCAAGTTCAAGATCGCTAAGAGCTCTCCCGCCGTCATCTGTACCAGCGCCGAGAGGAGCAGGGCGAGGTGTTGCATTCCTGCGTGTCCGCGGGTTTGGAGCTCGCGTCACACTCTCTGTCTGGACCTATCGCTCCGTTCTGCAACCGGCAACCCACCTAGGGGCAGGGAAAGGGAAATTTTATAATAACTAGAAAGGTAACATTTGCAAAGCAAATGCATAATGTTTACCTTCGCATATGGTTTGCTTTTCTTACTCAAATACATGTAACGTTACATTGATATACAATGTATATGGTCAGACAAGAGTGTATCAAAATTGCAAAATGATGTAACCCAACACCAGTTACCATGGTGACAGACATCAACAAATCAGGCCATATGGCCATTGCCCAGGTCAGAGGTTAGTGTTTGGAACAGAACGTAGTAAAAACAATATGTTTTCCATCGGTAAAAATAATAATAATAATAATAATAATAAACGGTTTATTGGCCAAACATCACCCGTGCAATCGCAGCCTTATAGTGCTGAATTGATGCAGGGTTTACAATCAGATGATACAAATGTTGATAATACACATAATAATGCACATAATGCACAATGTCATGATGCATATTTGTTCCACATTTTTGTATTGCACGAATTTGCAATAAAACAATTAAAATATGGTGACAGGTGCAGAGCAGACCATGAAATTGCAACATTATGTAACCATGGCGACAGACATCAACAAATTATGTCATTGGCCGGGTCAGAGGTCACTGTTTGGAGAAAAAGAAGAGGAAGAAACTGAGCAAAAACAATATGTTTTCCTTCGTTTTTCTTGGTTTTCCTTGTGTTGGACCAACAGTTTTAACTTTAAACATGTAACTACCAACACAGATGAACTTTCATGATGTTTTCCTTCGGTAAACATAAACAAACAAACAAACAAACAAACCAGTCTGAGCTGCACGCCTCTCCCGCACGGCTTCGAGCACTCGCTCCAGCCGCCGTATATCCACTCCCCGCAGCGGCTGCTGCTGCCGTAGCATCGCGCCGTCTCCGCCGGTCTGTCCGCGGCGGCACACGTCCCGCTCTGCCGGCCGTACTGGTCCATGCACTGCACGCTGCGCCGCTTCTCTCCGTGCCCGCACGACTTAGAACACCCGCCCCACGACCCGGTGTACCACGTAGATCTTACCGGGCTGGGTCTTGTCGGCGGCGGGGGCAGCATTCGAGTTCTCGCACGAGGGGTGTCTCTCTGGTTTGTGTACTGTATAGACGCCTTCGGCGCGAGGTAGGAGTAAATCACCTGCGGAGGAACCTCCTCGGAAGATATGACTTCGATGATCAGTTTCTCCTGCGTCCGATCGCGGATGGATATTTTTTCCTCGGCGGTGTCGGAGCCGCTGTAGGACAGAACGGCGCCGCCAATGTCAAGTTCGTCCACGCCCGCCATGCGGATGACGTAGCCGCCGTTGATGAAGTACTTCCCCTTCGCGTTCCTGACGGCGAGATAGTTCCCGTCCACCTGTAAGAAACAGAGGCGAGCAGTAGAAACAGACAAAAACCCTGCTGGTCCCGGGCCGGGGTTCGAACCTACGACCTCCCGAGCACCAGCTTCAGACTCCGACACTCTAACCACCCGGCGAAAAGGTCTAGACCCGTCGGCCGGGTCAGTTGGTAGCGCCTATAAACCCCCCACTGTTACACTACTCCCCCTTTTCTTTTCAAGATTCGTCCTCGAATCTTCCTAATTCGACATCCCTGGAGCGGCACTCTTTGCCAGAACTCCCTGCTGGTCCCGGGCCGGGGATCGAACCCACGACCTCATGAGCACCAGCTTCAGACTCCGACGCTCTAACCACTCGGCTAAAAGGTCTAGACTGTTACACACCTTCTTCCCGTTGTAGGACACCTGGCGGATCTCTATCCGGGTGGATCCCGCGGGAATTTCCAGCGCCGTGCGGTAGCCGTACCCCACCTAGTGTCAGGGAAAGAAGAACAAGTTTACAATGGGTGTAGTTCAGTAGGGACATCATGGATAGATAGCTTTAAACAATGCTTACAGGAGGTGTGACAAGTCGTTCGGTGTAATGAAGCCAGTTGCTACAGCGCCACGTGCGATAGCAAAGCTTGAAAAATCTATAGGCCTCTACACAGATAATCTCCAAGCAAATCTTTCGGTGTGGGGAAGATAGTATCAAAAGGGCCAGTCTGTAACCATTTCCCCACCAATGCATACAGACTGGCCCATTTGATACTGTCTTCCCCACACCGAAAGATCTTGGACATTATATACAGGTACAGGTACCGACCTTGTTGTAGGACCCTGAGACTTTGGGGGGGGGGGGCACCAGTGTGTTATATTTCATGTACCATCGCAAGGAAAATAGGGGGTCCCATCAATATCTATATCTATAAACCTCTATACAGACCTTGTTGTATGACCCTGAGACTTTAGAGCATGATTCTCCCCGTCCGCCACAGATGCCACACTTGTCGCGTTTGGCGGTGGAGCCGAGCAGGTTGTCGCACCCCGTCTTCTGGCACCGGCCCTGGATACACACTCCGCTGATGTCAGGTCCACAGGGGGTCCCGTCAACGAACCTGGGGGGGGGGGGGCACACGAATAAGGTCAATGACCTAGACCAGACGGCTGTCACCATGGTAACTGCTGATGTAGCAGACACCGCTGATCTCAGGTCCACAGGGCGTCCCATCAACAACCTAGAGGGGAGGGGGGGCATGAATGTGTTATGCCATATTTACAGAAGTAAAAATAATTATTGGTTAATGATCAACGACCTAGACCAGACGGCTGTCACCATGGTAGCAGACTCCACTGATTCCATGCCCACAGGGGGTCCTATCAACTACCTGGGAGGCACAAATGTGTTACTAGTATTTCTAGGTTACTAGTTACTAGGTTTCTTCTCCTTACAAATGAGGTCAATGACCTCGACCAGACGGCTGTCACCATGGTAACTGCTGTTGAAGAAGAATCCACTGATCTCAGGTTCGCAGGGGGTACCATCAACAACCTAGAGGGGGGGCATAAATGTGTTATATTTTATTTACAGAAATATAACTTTTGGTTTTTGCTCTGTGTCCGCCAAACAAAAAAAGGTCAATGACCTCGACCAGACGGCTGTCACCATGGTAGCTGCTGGTGTTGGATTACGTTATGTAGCAAGTGGCAGGACAGGACTTGGAGGGCTGCTTGAGATTAACAAAGAAACTACTTTACTAAAACCAATCTAGCAGTAAAAAGAATGCATATTTGTTCATGTAATGTGTGGCGTCGAGACGAAAAACTTACGCAGTCTCTGGTGAAATTTCTAACAATTCGGGATCTCTTCTCTCACCTTTTCTCTGAGCGTGTAGAACATGGTTGTCCCGGCGACCCGGCAGGTGAGTTTGCAGCTGTCCTTAAGAGCGACCCCTGCGTACCTGGGCACCCAGCGCGTGTACCTGTTCAGCCCGTTAATGTTGAAGTGCTGCCCGTCAAACTTCGCACACTGCTCCTCCCTACAGGGGGCAAAGGAGCGGAATTTTTTTCATTAAGAAAGATTATCATATAGCCAGGTGGCGTTGACCAATCAGAAGCCCCCATTTCATAATGATTATGACACTCGGTGGCTTTATTCGGTAGTTATAGCAACTGACAAGGCTTTATCACACCATATTCACCTCGGGGCGGGTCATTAACCCTTAATTAATATTCCTCATACAACTAGATGTAAGCTACATGTATAATTAGCTATAAGCTCCATCTGTTCTTACACTTACAACTTTCTTTAGAAGCGGGAGGTTGAACCTGTACATACGAGTATACCTTACCCATGTAGATGTAGCATGATACTAGACTTGTACAATATAACATACATTTTCAAATTGTTTTCTTATTGTATAATGCAAAGCACCTCTCGTACCTCTGATGTTAAAGTGAAGTGTTTCTCTTCCCATGGGCTAGAGATTTCAAGATTAAGAATCACTAAGTCTCAATCGTCAAACGTTACATCACGTAACGCCGGCCATAGCTGGCCCCACCAGGCTTCCCGTTGACGTGTACATTTTGTCTAGACATTGCAACATATCGTCTCCATCTGTGTAGCAAATGTTACAATGTGGCAAAAACACGACGCCCGGCCTTGGCTGGGCAGGTGTGTGATTTTAATCTCACACCTGCCTCTGCACCTGCACGGCGACACAAAATGTGTCCTTTGTGTCCTCTCAACAATATTGCAACATCTTGACACATGTGTGTAGCACTTAGACGGTGAAAGGTTTGGTTGTTTATACCTAATCACCAGGTACGTGTTGGTACACTCCAGGCTTGTTGGCAGGTTGGGAAAGGTAATATGTACCGTCAACTTCGGCCACACACGTGGGGAAAGTTAGAACAGGGAAGCGCCGAGTTTCATAATCTCCAAGCAGATCCTAGGGTGACAAAAGACAGTATCCATTGACCAGAGAGGTTCCAATACGCCACTCTTGGTAACTGTCATTGGATTCTGTTTTTGCCACCATAGGATCTGCTTGGAGATTACTGGTTCAGGAGAGTTTAGCCTCTACCAGGCACCACAGATCGCTGGTAAAATGGTAGAAATTGGCGAAAATAAAGGAAATAGTATGCCAGGGGAGTTCGCCGGCCAGAGAGGGTCGCAAAAATCAAACTATTACAGATTTATAATTCTAGACATTACAATGGCTCCATACCTTTGGATAAAGTATTATTGAGATTAATTGAACTGTGGGAGTGGGTAAGACATTCCTTTGACTCTATAAGCTAGGGTAGAAGATACTTTTATACTGCTTAGAATATTTGGCACTTCGTACCTGTATTTACACATTCAGTTTTTGTAGAAACTCTGCAACAAGAGTCATTGTCAAATACAAGAACAGCGAAGTGCCTATAAGAGGTTTGTTTGTTTCCAAAACTCAGCACTGAACAGGAGTATGTTTACTGCCCGACAAGTGTCGTGCAGATGTTTCCAACTTTAAACCAATAGAGTCGGTGTCAAGGACATGAAATAACTTAGCACAAAGAGGTCTTTTATTTTGTTACCACTCGATAACCACGACTGCTGATACAAAAGCTGGAAAAGCGAGAAACCACATGTGGGGTAAACATGCAAATCTGGCAATTTGGTAGTCCCTATCAGACTTGCAACGCTGGCTATGGCGAAAATAATTTGCCTTCAGGGGAAATCGTGATACCCTTACCGCACGTGGCTCACTCATGACCACTCATGGCCAAATTATTTTCTCCTTTTTTGTAGAATTCAACCATCTATAACCCTTGTGGTATCCGGATCCAGAACCGTGCTTTATCCAGAATCATGCTCATCCACGGTTCTGGACAGTTCTACGTTCCAAATCTACGTTCTTGGATACGTGGAGACCACTAAGACTCGTGTCTGCTCCTAACCCATTCATGTATAGAGCTAGATAGGCACGGTTCTGGCTACAATAGAATTGCAACCCTGAGGCACACAAGCAAGCCACTTTCCACTTCTTGCGGAGCATAGGGGCGGTTCCCATCTCCATTTCTGTAGCCCTTGGGCCACACAGTTGTGCAAGCACTACAGCAGGGGGCTAGCCTGTTGGTAGTGTTGTGTGTTTGACCTTCCAATACTCTTTCTCATAGATGCTGAGTGCTAAGCACAGAAAGCAGTTTGTACCATTTTTAAAGTCTTTGGTATGACCCGGTTGGGGTTTGAACTCACAACCTTACAAAGCAAGCACTATTCCCGACTGAGCTATTGCATCGGTTATACACAGCTTCTAGTAAATGCGGCCATGCATGCCTGGGACAAATCTACGTTGAACTTCTTGGATACGCGGTGACTACTACTATCAAGACTCATGTCTGAACCTTACCCTTTAAGGTATAGAGCCAGATAGGCACTGTTCTGGCTACAATAAGGCTCCAATCCTGAGGCACACTACTCTCCAAGCAGAGGTTTGGGTTTGGGGGGTATTTTGGGCGTGTTTTTAGGCTTTTTTACGAGGTTTCTTTTTTGCCCTGGAATTTTTTTCCACGCAACCGAATTTTTGGGATGAAAAATGATTAAAGTGCAAAAAAAGCCTAAAAACATGCCAAAAATACCCCAAGACCAAAACCTCTGCTTGGAGAGTAGAGGCACACAACTTCTTCTAGCTAGTGCAGTCCGACAGGAGACAAAATATTTAAGTCTGGCTCCTGAGGGGAAGGCGGAAGGTGTTTGGGAGAGGGAAGGTCTTATCAGGGCCATCTTGAAGCGGTGCCGTGTGGGATCCCCGGGCGGATTAGGGCCGGATTAACGTGGATTAAGATCGCTTCTCCCGCATGCTGGATCCGAACGATAACCGGTATGGTGACCTCAGACGACCCCGCTATGCCGTGTTCTCCCTGGACCACAGAGTGCGGGTTCAAGTCCCGAATGTCTACATGTAGGTTCGAACCCAAACATGTTTAGGACACATAGGTATTGGATACGAGTCCAGCGTTAAGGGGAGGCACATCCATAGGCATGTTATATATATATAGTACAACGTATGGCATCTTCTTGTTCTGCTTCATAGCAACCATACTGTATGGTTGATATGTAGCAGAGCTAAAAGATTACTAATCTACCGTGACTATGTATAATGTGGTGCATAGTGTTTTGTAAGGTAGATTAGTATGATCTCTCCAAAGCCTTGAGTCATCATCAGAAATCTTTGTAGATCAAGAACCGTGCCTCAGGGCAAAGCTACGTTCTTGGCTACGCGGAAACTATCCAGAACAGTGCCTGTTCCTAACCCTAACCCATTCAGGCATAGCCATAAAAATACATAAGCGCGGTTCGGGAGACTATCCAGAACCGTGCCTGATGCTAACCCAAACCCATTCAGGCATAGCCATAAAAATACATAAGCGCGGTTCTGGATACGATAGAGACTATCCAGAACCGTTCCTGGAGCTAACCCTAACCCATCCATGCCAAGAACAATTCTGGCATATTCATGGTTTTGTATACAATAGAGACTATCCAGAACCATACCTGATCCTACCCCCAAACCATTCAGGCCTAGAACTAGTTAGGCACGGTTCTCGACACGAGAGCGTCCACTGAAAGACCTGTGAGAGATCTGTAGACTCTACCAGACTAACTACGCTGGCTATATATAAGGGAATATTTGCCAGGGGAGTTTGGCCGCCTTGTAGGTTTGACTGGTCGCGCAAGTGGAGAGAAAGAAACTACCTCCCTGCCGCCGGACTCGTTTGGCCAATTTTACTCTCTTTTTTGCCAAATTCTACGATCCGTATTCCCGTAGTAAGACCTGGTGGAGGCTAGGAGATCTGCCTGCTACCAAACGATCTCTGCACGGTCTCTGCACGATCTTTGCACGGTCTCTGCGCGATCTCTGCACGGTCTGTGCACGATCTTTGCACGGTCACGCGTTTGAGGAATGCCCGTACATAAGCTCCATGAGTTCTCGGGACCTCCCCAAGCTTCTCACACAAGCCCCAATAAGCAACAGTCAAACAAATTACCGCCGTGTGGAGAATAGAGCCGCATGTGCCTCCCACCTGGTTAAACAGATTTATTCCCGCGGCTATTGTGCCGGTGTTGTATGTAGTAAACCTGGCCGCGTTGGTCCGCAAATACAGCCCTTTCTCTCAGGGGTGTTTGGGGAGGATGTTACGGGTGTGAGGTCCGAGCGAACACACCGGGTAGCTCCTAGTGAACTTTCGTTAGATGTAACACGCCAGTTTTATACAGTTGGTACTCTCCAAGCGGAGGTTGTGGGGGAATGATCGTTACCTTTTTACCTTGGCCGTTTTTTTTATTGTCGGTACCCCCGTCGGTGGCTGGTGACATTCTCTGGCTAATGGATACTGCTATACTGATACTGTATTTTTTTTAACCCCGAAAGGGATCTGCTTGAAGATTATACAGTTGGTACATGGTACAAGTAAGGAAACCGCCTTTAGATGTAACACACCAGTTTTATATAGTTTCTCTGGCCGGTGTTTGGGATGTTAGAGGTGTGAGGTCCTCGCGCTGCCAAGCGAATACACCACGTAGCCCCTAGTGAACGTTCGTAAGCTAAGTATCTGATACCAGCCCAGAAAAGATCAAGAAACAGTCATGCCTTCAAATTAATATCAGAGTTATCAACCAAGAATTGAGGTGTTGAAAACTCGTATTTCCCAAGAACTATCGTAGACTGGAACTCGTTGCCACCAAGCACAGTCCTTGTACATTCAAGTACAAAATGTAATAGTAGAATATAAAAAGACTAACCTGAACGTATCCTTCCCGTCGTTGCCTCGGCAGGCCTCGGTGCGACAGGACCGGTACTTCACCGCCTCCCCCCGGCAGAAGTCCCCTCCGTGCTGAGGGGCGGGACTGTCGCACTTCCGCGCCGCCGCCTGCACCCCTCCCCCACAGGTCCGGCTGCACGCCCCCCACGGCTCCCACGACCCCCAACCCCCGTCTACCCGCACCGCCTCGCGCTTCTCCGTGCACTTCCCCTCCTGGCACCACCTGGAGAACATTGGACAGATTTTATTGGCGTCAACTATAAGGTGATAACTAACATGATTAGATGCAAAATTGAAAATATTTATCTATGTATGTATGTATCTCTCTCTTTCTCCCCCTCTCTCTCAAATGTGTACCTGACTTCGGTTGGGGAGGTAAAAGGCAGTCAAAGGAGAGGGATTGGCTCCGCCTTCCAATACCATGCCCTAGACACAGTGGAGTAACAAACAACCCACTGCCCTTACAGGCTATGGGACTTGCATCTTATATATCACTTTATAGGAAAGCAGTGTATTGTACTGTATACCTGTTCCTTTCACAGGCCGCCCCGTACCGATCCGATACCTCGTAGTTGTAGATTTTTCAGTTGCGTTCTACTCCACGCATTCCTGGCTGGGCGTTGACACTTAAACGACTTTTCTCACTTCCCAAAAAGGCTATGAGACCTTGATCTTATATACTAGTATCTTATATATCTTGAAGAAAGCAGGACACAGTCCTACACACCTTTTATCCTACATAAAAGGTGTGTAGGAGGAAAGCAGTTTATACCTGTTCCTTCCGACTTTTCCTACTCCCCAAAAAGGCCACGGGACCTTGATCTTATATACAAGTATTTTACATATCTTCATAAGAAAGCAGTTTATACCTGTTCCTTCCGCAGGCGGTTCCGTCCGCCCAGGGCATGTGGTACGTCTGGCACACCTGCTGGCCCTTCACCATAGTGGTGCACCACAGCTTCGAGCAGGTGGTCCTGGGGACAGGGTACACGGGGTTAGCTGGGTGGTATCTGTCTGAGAGGGACTAGGAATGTTAGGATGTAATTTTGCTCATTCGGATGAAAGCTCATCTGTGTTGGCACAATCTAAAGTTGCTGAGTTGTTCCAACACAAACTGAGAAGATTCAGAGAAGAAATCGCCAAGAATTTTTGGTCGATGACGTCCTCACTCTTCCGGGTTCCGGAAAGTCAGCACAGTGAATCAAACATCTGAAGTGAAGGAGCTCAGTTACCATATTGGCTATGGTGACTGGTTTCCATGCTGAGGGAGAATACTGAGCTCCAATTGTAATGATTTTCATAGTTATAAGCAACCCTGAGATCCTCTTGGTAGGTTTTGGAATGGGAATGGCTCTTTCGAAATGGAGGTGTATGGTCACAAGAGGAGGCAAACTGTTCTCTCCAGCAGCCAAACTCCCTCCGCATGCTATCTCTCTATTTGGCCGATTTCTACTCTTTCCAGCCGCCTCCCGAAGCCTGGTAGAGGCTACAATCCGCCCCTGACTGCGAGAGATTGTGTAACAAGGGTTAATACTAACTTACCCCCTCATGAACGGACAGAGCGCCGACCCCGTGCCGAACACCAGCTCGCACTGCTGATCCACGTCGAACAGCTGACCGGGGTGGTCTCTGGGCAGCTTCCGGCCCGGACCCGTCGGCTGGTCGTGCAGGCAGCCTCCTCGTCCTGTTTCATACAAAAAGGAAACATCTCTCAGTCACTATGTCACTGACGAAAGGTAGTGGATGCTACCTGAATCGCCTGACCGTTTCCAAAATCATATCCAGTTGCTTGAGCAACTGCTTTTTGGCGAAACATCTCTGATCTATTTTTCAGTCCAGTTATTCGACCAGTTGGGCTCCCACAGAAGTTCAGACAATCTGTTTTCTGCACCCTTTTTGGGTTTCTGTTCTCAGCTATGTTTTAGTCCCATTATTCGACCAGTTGGGCTATCACAGAAGGTCTGGCAACCTGCTTTCTCCTCCATTCACGGTTTTCTGTTCTCATCTATCTTTTAGTCCCATCATTTCACCAGTCGGGCTACCACAGCAAATCTGACAGTGGACCAGTGGATGAGGAAACGATACAATATGTAAACACGGGTACAAAAATTAGTAGCACTGAGAAACCTACCGGCCTGTAGGAAGTTACTGAGCTACATGTACGCCATACTTGCACCGCTAGATAACTCACCGGCCTGTAGGAAGTTGCTGAGTGCCCGTGAGCTACAGCGGGACCATGCCCAGGGATGAGTGCTGTCGCCGTTCAGTGTGGGGGCCATCAGGTTGTACCGGCCCTTCCTCGCTAACACAGCGTCAACATAGCTACATGTACGCCACACTAGCACAGCTAGATAACTCACCGGCCTGTAGGAAGTTGCTGAGCGCCCGTGAGCTACAGCGGGACCATGCCCAGGGGTGAGTGCTGTCTCCGTTCAGGGTGGGGGCCATCAGGTTGTACCGCCCCTCCCTCGCCAGCACAGCGGCGCAACTCCGGTGGCTGTCGTGCTGCATGTTAAAAACGTGCCCGATCTGGGAACAACAAAGTACAAAGCCAAACTTTTTATTGCACAACAGTTGTAACAGGTACAATGTATGGCAGCTCTTCAGAGTTACTACATATCTAGCTATATTAATGGTTTACAGAGTTGCAGTCCTTCCTGATGTGAGTGGTTGAAACCTTACAGTCCGGTCTTACACATCTTCTACTACATGTACAAAACTGGGGTGTTTCGCCAAAAAAAGGCGGTTTATGGGTTATACGAAACAAAGTGGGATCGTGTGGGTAGCAACAGTGTTCGACTCGGAAGCAAGAGGTCCCGGGTTCAAGTCCTGACTTGCCACCGTTCTTGTGCCCTTGTGAAAGGCACTTTACATGACTTTTCTCACTTCGCTCACGTGAAAATGAGTATTGTATTGACCTCTGTGTTGGTGGCGACATTAACATAAGTTGAAAAAACTTGAGTGTGGCCACGTGGCGTCACCACGTCTTGTGACTACATCATCATCATCAATCATCCTCCGAAGAGGTGGAGCATACAAAGTTAGATCTCCAGAACTTTCTGTCCTTCATCGCAGAGATAAGTTTCAGGCCCTGCAAGGCTGTTTCAGTTTCTATAAGTTTCTTAAGTGTTATGTTTGGCCGTCCAACTCTTATTTTTGTGTCAGGGTTCCAGAGTAGAAGCCTACTGGCAGGTTCTTCACTACGTACAATCTGTTGTAGAGTGACTACATGTTGGAATGTATCATCATGAAAAATAAAAACAACGCCAACCCTGACCTCGTGCGCGATGGTGAAGGCAGCGCTCAGCCCGTTGTCCTGGCTGATGGAGCAGCTCCGATGTGACTCGCACATGGTCCCCACCTCAGCCAATCCCAGCGTAGAACACACGTCACGTGAGCTGCACGGACAGTTTGAAAAATAAAAACAATCATTTCAACAGTCATATTGTATGTAACAGATTATTATTGGACTGAGCAGAGCACTTTGGACTAATGCCTCTGCAGCTGGCTGTTTACAGCTTAGAGGCATATATCCAATATTTTGTCACAAACTTCTCTGTTACATAGCGGATCTAGCGGATCATAATGACCCCAGCGGGGGTCTTCACTCTTCGTTGAATTTTGAGATCTTATGAGACAATCTTGAGATTTTTCATGACAATCTCAAGATCTTTCTGAAAATCCCAAGATGAAAACGAAAGGTCTCAAGATCTTTCAAGATGCTTTGAAAATTTTTTCCATAGCATCTCGAGATGATTTACAAAATATCAAGATTGTTTAAAAGATCTCAAGTTTAGAAAGAAAATTTCAACATTTCTTTCAAGATTGCTTTATAAATCTATCCAGCCGTTTCCCGAAGCCTGGTAGAGCTATCCCTGAAATGACCTCTGACCTGCAGAGATCCTGCCGCGTGAGCAGTACTGCGGTGTCGTGATGCGCCGGATGTGCGTCATCAGCCGTGTTCTGCTGCTGCTGCCAGCTGCAGAAGTTCCGCAGAGTCGACGCAGCGTTTCCGGTCACCTGGTGGCGGGAAAATAAAACAACAACAACCGAATTATAAAACAAGTCATAATTGTGAACTGCAATTGCCAACACAAGAAATTGGAATGCCTGGTGGAGACTACTGTTTTTTTGCTGAATTCTGCTATCAATAGCCCTTGGGAAGGCCTGGTGGAGGCTACTATTATTTGCTGAATTCTACTATCAATATCCCTCAGGAAGGCCTGGTGGAGGCTACTATTATTTGCTGAATTCTACTATCAATAGCCCTCAGGAAGGCCTGGTGGAGGCTACTATTATTTGCTGAATTCTACTATCAATAGCCAATAGGAAGATTACTGAAGGCTAGTCCCAGCCAGCTTTGCTCGTCATAATTGCTGCATGTTGTATTGATAGGCAGCTAATTATATAATGACCCGCCCCAATTTAACTTGCATTAGGTCCCAACCAGCTTCTCTTAACTGCTGCGTGTTGGGATAGGGAACGCAACTTGAAGCTAGCAAAAATCGTTCCTGGGTAGAAATTAAATCTATAGATGTACATTTAACTGCATGTGTACCAAATTTGGTGCTTTTAGATAAAAGTGCACGATTTTTCAGCTATATACATGCCCCTGCCCCTGGACTGAACTACTGCATGTTGTATGGATAGGCAGCACCAGAACGTGCCAAGTCAGTGTGCAGTCGCACCACTTCAGAGCGCTGTGCAAATCTGCTCAGTAATTACCGGCCTTTAGTCAAACATATCCGACACTAATCACACCGGGGTCTGTCGCTGGCGGGCCGCCAGGCTTCTGACGTGAAGACAGCCCGGCCGTTCACGGGCGGGAATTAATCTCCAAGCAGATCTTTCGATGGCAAGACAGTATCCATTGGCCAGAGGAGTGTCCATTAGCCACCGAAGTGCTTTGAAAGCATCTTGGAAAGATCTTGAGACCTTTCGTTTTCATCTTAAGATTTTCTGAAAGATCTTGAGATTGTCAGGAAAAATCTCCAGATTGTCTCATAAGACCTCAAAATTCAACGAAGAGTGAAGACCCCCGCTGGGGTCATTATGATCCGCTATGTAACAGAGAAGTTTGTGACAAAAGATTGGTGAGGTCAGCGTGAGCCATTTTAGTAGCTGTAACGAATGTTTTTATTTTTTTGCAGCTCACGTGACGTGTGTTCTACGCTGGGATTGGCTGAGGTGGGGACCATGTGCGAGTCGGTGGCTAATGGACACTCCTCTGGCCAATGGATACTGTCTTGCCACCGAAAGATCTGCTTGGAGATTAGGCGGGAATAACCTTGTCGCCTGAGCACTGGGGCAGTTTGCCTGACGTAAAAGGCAGTTTTTAGGAGGTGGAAACCCGATTTTTCAAAGCCAATATTCTAGTCATTTATCGACGAGTCGATAGTTGAAACCACACTGTTCCAATGTATATTGACCCTTTGTCATAGAGCAAAAGCTTGTTTAGCCGCCTCCTGAAGCCTGGTAGAGGCTAGATTCCAGCCGCCTCCCGAAGCCTGGTAGAGGCTAGATTCCAGCCGTCTCCCGAAGCCTGGTAGAGGCTAGATTCCACCAGCCTGTATCCGGCAGAGGTAGATTCCAGCCGCCTCCCGAAGCCTGGTAGAGGCTAGATTCCAGCCGTCTCCCGAAGCCTGGTAGAGGCTAGATTCCAGCCGCCTCCCGAAGCCTGGTAGAGGCTAGTTTGTTCAGCACCAGTAGCAGCAATCGGGCCGCGGAGTTTCCCAAGGGGACGACCTTTGTCGCCGCTTGTTTAGGAAGTGCCCACTTGATCCGCCCCCTAAAACACGGTCTGTTTGCTCAACAAACACTACTTTCGTCACTGATTTACACGATAAGCCCAAACAACGTCTTCCCCCAATTTGCGGTGTGTGCGTAAGCAGGGCCGCATAGCTGCCGCTCCGGGATCATGTTTGCCTTGCTGTGGTTCACCTGTACTCTCTCCAAGCAGAGGTTTGGGTTTGGGGTTATTTTTTGGCGTGTTTTTAGACTTTTTATCGGGATTTCTTTTTTGCACTGTTTTTTTTTATTTTACCCAAGAAAAGAAAAATTCCAGTGCAAAAAAGGAACCCCGATAAAAAGTCTAAAAACACACCAAAAATAACCCCAACCCAAACCTCTGCTTGGCTTGTGGTTCACCTGCCGGTGTCGAGCCGAATCCTTGAGCTGCCACATAGAGACGACGAATTATCAACCAACAATTGAGGTGGTCAAGAACTGTCGTAGAGTGGAACTCGTTGCCACCAAGCACAGTTGGGGCATCATCACTAGAAAGCTTTAAACAACTCCTGCAATTAAGTGTGCAAAGATTAAGTGTAACGAGTCGTTCGGTGTGATATAGCTAGCTGCCACCGCGCCGCGTGCCTGCGAAGCTGATGTGTTACGCCGAATGGCGGTTATACCGGCTATACAGATGCAGAAGCTGGTGTGTTACGCCGTAGGGCGGTTATACCGGCTATACAGACACAGAAGCTGGTGTGTTACGCCGAAGGGTGGTTATACCGGCTATACAGACACAGAAGCTGGTGTGTTACGCCGAATTGCGGTTATACCGGCTATACAGACACAGAAGCTGGTGTGTTACGCCGAAGGGCGGTTATACCGGCTATACAGATACAGAAGCTGGTGTGTTACGCCGAAGGGTAGTTATACCGGCTATACCGATACAGAAGCTGGTGTGTTACACCGAAGGGCGGTTATACCGGCTATACAGATACAGAAGCTGGTGTGTTACGCCGAAGGGCGGTTATACCGGCTATACAGATACAGAAGCTGGTGTGTTACGCCGAAGGGCGGTTATACCAGCTATACAGATACAGAAGCTGGTGTGCTACGCCGAAGGGCGGTTATACCGGCTATACAGATACAGATACAGAATATTGTCCTTTCGTCGGTTTTATCAGACGTATAATTTGGCACTTCCTCTCCTTGACCCTCTTTTCTACGTGGAAACAACAGACGGTTTGACTCTGTGGTCAACTCACAGGAAAACAACCGGAAGTTAGTCACCGCCACTGTGTGCCACCTGTCTGAGGACAGGCAGGTATATCACCTGGTGAGCACCGGGTAGCGACCTTGCTCCGGGATCAGAAGGTCGCGGGTTCGAATCCTGGTGGGACGCTGTAAGCCGTGTCCATTGTTCAATGTGGTACTTCCGCTTAAGAAAAGGATTTTCCCTGCACTTGTAAGTTGTATACTGTATACATAGTGCCCAACAATCAGAGGAAGAACAGTTTACCTAGAACTCGATCGAGTATGGCCAGCCTCTGATGCACAATCAAGAGGTTTGAATCATTCTTATACATGTACTGGTATGTCGTACGGTCAGTGGAAAAACAGTTTCCATAGGTTGAAATTGTATCATGGCCATATACCTTCACTGTGTTAGGGGACTGAATATTTCTTGCTGTGCGATCAGTGGAAGAACAGTTTTCTAACAGCTAAACCCGGGTCGTGACCAAATACCTGCATTTTAATATGCACACGTAAGGAGAGAGTGAACGACTCTCCGTGTTGGTATACCCTAATCTCCAAACAGATCCTAGGGTCTCAAAAATAGAGTATCAAATTGGCCAGGCAGTATCCAATTGACCAGAGAGGCGACCCAAGGTTGGTGGGGGTAGCTACAAGTTGGTGGGGGTAGCTACAAGTTGGTGGGGGTAGCGACAAGTTGGTGGGGGTAGCGACAAGTTGGTGGGGGTAGCGACAAGTTGGTGGGGGTAGCGACAAGTTGGTGGGGTTAGCGACAAAAAAACAGGCCATATATAAAAAGCTAAATATCTCCCACAACCTCTGATTGGAGCTAAGGTATGCCCTAGATGTGTGCCTGGTGAGATGTGCGGTTTCAGCAGCCCGGTGTGTGAACATTCCGCGGACTCAGCAGGTGTGAATCCCGCAGAATGTGACTCCTGCTGCCGGCAGGTAATTGTGCGTGGAGACCTCCAGTCGGCACCTGTCTGCCGCCGGCCACGAGCGGGCCGTGTACGTACACCTCCTGTACATCACGCTTGTACTTGTATCCGATCTATTCTTTGATAGTAGCCTGCTGTCCTGTCTATCGTGATCTAATGTGTCAGGTTAAGCAGGAGTGGGTTGGCGGGAGTACTTGGACAGTAACCTGTCGTGGGTAGCTTGACACATCCTTTATCTGTCTTCTTTCCTTTGTCTTAGTCTCTGTACTGTGTTTTGGGGCGGCTTTCTAGGACCTCTTCTCCTCGTAATTTCTTAAGGCAAGAATCTCTGGGCTAAAACTAAAGATTTAGGGTAATCACCACGCTTCTACTTGTAACCGATCTCTGTTCTGATAGTAGCCTGCTGTCCTGTCACGGCTGAAGCTAGACTTCCTATCTCAGTGGTACACGACATCAGGACGAAGGTCGTCGGGGGGAAAACTGCGCTTGCGGTTCTAACCCTCTGTTCCCCTCTCGTCCTTAAGACAGTTCAATTTTTCGTGGTGGGGCTAATCAACTCTTGCCGTGCGAAACCCCTGCAAGCGCAAAACTACAAAAAGCCCCGACGTTAAATTTTCTTCAAGCAAGCTGTGAGAGATTCTGCCATCGACAATGAGCTAAGACAGCCTTTTCCGGACCAAGAAGGCTGGATTGTGCACGGCACCTTCTTGTAGACTTTTACAATAATACTCTCAGTGGCACGACGACCGTACAGCGCATGTAACCAGGCTCTACCTGTTAACACCTTCTTACAGTTTGTTCACAGGTGCGCTCAGGAGGCGTCCACTCACTTAGCAGCACACTTCATCAGAGGAGACTGCTTGAGATTACCGGTGTCGTGTTTTCTCTTCGCTGACCGATGCCGTAAATCAGGACAGGTCAGGAGAGTCAATGATTTACATGTTAGGTCCACGTCGTTTTTCACATGGGTATGCATGTGGCTTAAAGTTAAAGGGAGGCCATTCAGAAGTTTGGCCCGCACACAGCAAATTACCTTAAACCCACTAGCACGGACTGCACGTCCTGAAAAAGTGGCTAAAGCTGTATCTGTACAGCTGGTATGAGCACCCTTCATCGTAACACACCAACTTTCCAGGCACGCGGCGCGGCGGCAGCTGGCT